CGGAGCGAGACTCCAACTCAATAAATAGATAGATAGATAGATAGATAAATAGATAGATAAATAGAGAGAAATAAATAGATAGATAAACAAATAGATAAGTAAATAAATAAATAAATAAATAAATAAATAAAAACGTGGGCCAGCTGGGCTCGGTGGCTCAGCCTGTCATCCCAGCACTTCGGAAGGCCAAGATGAGTGGATTGCCTGAGCCCGTGGGTTTGAGACCAGCCCAGGCAACTTAGAGAGACCGCCTCTCTACAATTAAAAAAAAAATTTGCCAGGTGTGGTAGCACGGGCCTGTAGTTCCGGCTGCTTAGAAGGCTGAGGTGGAAGGATCACTGGAGCCCAGCGGGTCAACACTGGGGTGGCCTTGAGTGTGCCACTGCACTCCAGCCTGGGCGACAGAGTGAGACTCTGACTCAAAAATAAAAAAAAAAAATAAAAAGCATGGGCCGCAGATGCTAGAGCAGGCGCTAGCATTGGCCTCATGTCTGTGTCTCAGTCTTCTTTTACTGCGCTGTGAAACGGGACGAGGATCCCAAGCCTGGCTCCTAGAACTGTTTCGAAGATTCAGTGTCATCAATCATACCTACCAGATACAGAAGAAACATCCTGACTTTATCTGGCCTGCAAGTGTTCCTTGCAGATAAAGTCACTGACTTTATCTGGCCTGCAAGTGTTCCTTGGAGACTGGTGTCTTCTGGACACAGTATGTTTATGTCACCCAGCTCCAGGGGCTTAATTCCCACACCCATTACAGTACCTAAGGAGAGGCAGATTTACAATTCCTGTTTTCCAGAAAAAAAGTACAGTTAGTTTATCTGGAGACCTGTGGGTTTAACTTCGTTGTTAAATATTTGAAAAGAGAGTGGCGTTCTTATGATACAAAGCCCGAAAACGGGAACAGGGTGAGTGTGGAAATTACTGGAATAATGAGAGTGACTATTGTGCAGAGGAGGAAGGGCCGGGCGGGGGAGGGAGAGCCAGGGCAGACTCCTATTTTGGGAATCTGACCATGGAGAGATGACTCAGCCTCTATGGAGAACAAAAGGCAGGTTAGGGCAAGGTTTGCTTCTACTGGAAAATTGGAGTTGCTTTTATTTGTAAAGGTCTGTTCTGTTTGCCTCTATTACTGTGAGCACGTACATATTTTTTTTTTTTTTTGGTTGGAGTCTCACTCTGTCACTGAGGCTGTGCAGTGGCACCATCATGGCTACGGCAGCCTCAACCTGCTGGACTCAGGCGATCCTTTGCCCTCAGCCTCCTGAGTAGCTGGGATAACAGGCGCATGCCACCATGCCTGGTGGTAATTTTCTGATTTATCGTAGAAATGAGGTCTCACCACGTTGCCCAGGCTGGCCTCAAACTCCTGGGCTCAGGCAATCCTCTGGCCTCAGCCTCCCCAAATGCTGGCATGACAGGCGTGAGCCACCACACACTGCACCGTATTTTAACTTAAACCCATTTGAACTTCCCCTTTTCCCCTTCTGAAGCTGGTTGTGGTTGACAGTCATCTCTCAGCTGTGGAGAGAGGTCCAGCTCGGGCAGCCAGGCCTGGGGAAGAGGCAGGACCGGCCCCTCCCCTCCCATCAGGCCTGGGAAGAGGCAAAGCCGGGGAGGGAAGGGGGCACGGGCCTGGCCTCCCTGGCTGTGGCCACAAGGCCCAGAGGAGAGGAGGGTTCACTTCATACCCCACCCAGTACAAAGGTCAAGGGGCCAGCGAGAGGGAGTTTGGGCGTGCAGTCCTCCGACTTGGTGAGGGCTGGTTCCAGGACCCACGGGTGCCAGCGTCCCTTGCAGAAGATGGCACGTGGGCACGTAGCCCCGCAGACATTCCATCTCTAGATTACTTTTGAAACCGAATGTAGCGTTCAGGTTATGCAAACGTTACGCTGTACTGATTTTGTTGTATTTTTTATTTTATTGTCTTTGTTTTTATAAGTATCTTGATCTGAGGTTGATTGAATCCCTGGCCGCAAAACCCACAGATTCTGAGAGTCACCTATAGCTCTTATTGAGTGACGGATATACTGGAGTCATTTAATCCTTACTGCAATCCTGAAAAGGGTGTCATTACCCCCATCTTACAGTTAAGGAAACAGGCTCAGAGGGGTTGAGTAACTTGCCCGTTGGGAAGGTGGCAGAACTGGGATTCAAACAAGGTTCTGAAGCCAGAGTCCTGGGTCTTCCTTGTCTTCAGGCCCCTGCAGCATTTTCAGGCTGGAGACAAGAAGAAGGTGGGGGTGCTTCTTCCGCCTTGGTTATTCAGAGCCATCAGTCTAGAAGCGAGGGAGGCCACGTAATTTTCACTTCCTGGATATGAAGGGAAACACAAGAGCCAACTTCTTTGAACTTTCCTATAAACGCAGCCTCTGCCCTTGACCGTGTGTCCACACCCTCTCGCCCCCTGTACTGCCCCCCCCCACGCTCTCCCGTAGACTGTGGCTGATCTGACGGGTCTGTTTCACCACTTGCTAAATTCTGTGGATTGGCTGGTCCAGGGGTCTTGACTGTAGGAGGCGGGGACATCTCAGCTTGACAGACAGACAGGCTGAAGACTGGGACATGCAGCCCTGTGCTCAGCGCCGTCTTCGCTGGCTTCACTTGTCCCACACAGCAGGGACGGCTGACCATGCTCCGCTGGGTGGCCGAGGAGCCCCGGAGCCCCGCTCCACGGCTCTGCCCCCTCCCATGGGCTGCACGCCTGGGCCTCGCGTCGAGGCAGGGTCCAGCTCCAGCTGCAGGGCCTGGTGGCTCACTCCTTCTGCTCCCAGACCCCTCCCCTGTGAAGCAGGGCTGGAAGCACCTGCCTCTGGGGGCTGCGGGGCACGTGACTTGGAAGCTCTCACGGTGGCTCAGTGCGCCCGCGCTCAGTGCTCAGGCATGTTCAGGGCTCACACGTTTAGTGCTCGTGCACTTTCAGTGCTCACGGGTGTTCAATGCTCACATGTTCCGTGCTCACACCTGTTCCATTGCTCGTGTGTTCGCTGCTCACAAGTGTTCAGTGCTCACACGTTTAGTGCTTACGTACCTTCTTTCACGTGCACACACTTTGAGTGCTCATGTGCATTCAGTGCTCCTGTTTTCAGTGCCTGCCCACGTTTACTGCTCACACACATCCAGTGCTTAAGCGCGCTCAGTGCTGGCATGTGCGTGCCACTGCTGGGCCTTCTGCTGGGGCGAGGCCCTCAGAGCCTGGAAGACCTGGGTTCCAGCCTGACTCTGCACCGACATGTGGCTCTGTGGCCACCGGCAAGTCATGTCCCTTCTCAGAGTCGCACCCCTTCATCTGTGAATCGGGGAGAAGCCACATTTCTCCCTTGTGGGGTGCTGTAGCTCCTGTGGGAATAAATGTGTACACCACGCAGGCCCCGTGTGACCTCACAGCCAGGGGCTGCCTCCTGCAGACTCCTGGGGACGGGAGTGCCAGAGCCCCGGGCAGGCTGCTGACGCCTCTGCTTTGCATCCTCAGCGGTCAGTCATGGGCACCCCAGCCTCCGTGGTGAGCGAGCCGCCCCGCAGGCAGCCTCCGACAGAGGCCCGGGGCCGCAAGCAGGCCTCCGCCAACATCTTCCAGGACGCCGAGCTGCTGCAGATCCAAGGCCTGTTTCAGCGCAGCGGAGACCAGTTGGCCGAGGAGCGGGCGCGGATCATCTGGGAGTGTGCAGGGGACCACCGTGTGGCCGAGGCGCTG